CTGAAAAGAGAAGGGGAAATATATCAATAAAGATCGAACACTGAGGTTGTGCGTTCGATTCTTGTAATGAACATTCTGGTGTGTCCTTGAGCAAGACATCTAATAGTTTTGAATAAGTCAGTGTGATCATGTTGTTGGAGAGGCTATTAATGTATCGACTAGGGATGGACATGATTAGCTGACTAATCAATAATTGATCATTAAGTATTTCGTTAATTTTTACTCGACAAACTGAAAGTAGATTGCTGTGCGTAGTGTAAGGAGACGAGGCTGCGTCTGACACAAACACTGGAGTTGTGCCTCACAGTCCTAAGTTTGGGCTCTGGCTCCTTGGAGACACTGTACCACTCAGTGAGTGTGTTTACAGCACATCAGTGTCCCGGGTATGATCGAGGTTTTTGAGTATCCTGGTTTAGTCATGGTGCATGTAAACGCAGTATTCCGGTTACTGCAACATAAAGTTGAGTCACATGCGTCCAGAAGACAAACACTTTTCAGTCTCAGTCAGTTTCATCACAACAGAAGCCAAAATAAATAAAGTGACCAACATAAATGAAGTGAGTGAAATGATGTTAAATAAAGAGCTGCACTAAACCTGCAAAGATCTGATCTCTGAAAACATGAACCATTTCCAACGCGACACACACACAGAACAGACTCATCCCCATCATCATCAACATCCCTGTCACAGAGAGAACACTCATATTCCACTGAGTCGTGTCCTTTAGTCCGACAGAAGCTGAACGGCATCAGCGCACAAGGAAAGAGCTGTTTTTTGTCAGTGTTACAATTTATGCAAATGAGCCATGTGGTTTTAAGTTTTGTTTCTGTAAAATGTAAACAAATGTATCAAAGCTGCATTAAACACATTATAATCTCCAACGGGCTGATGTGGTTCTAGGTTTATATGTTGTAAAGTTGAGTTTATTTATACAGATCAGTAATAGTATATAATGATGATCATTTTAATATAAAAACTTCAATGATTAATTGACGATTGATTAAGAAAACGTAATCAAATGCCCATCCCTAGTATCAATGTACATGGCAACTTGCACAAATTTCCTACCACTATGTAACTTTAATGATGTGGGGCGCACAAGCTCAGGCCAAGTTACAGGTCAGATCTGCAGAGAGGCGAGCTCACTCATTAAGAACGCATGATTTAATTTTTTTTTTTTTTTTTTTTGCAATAATAAACACCTTGCATATTAAGACTGAGTTCTTCTCTCAACCAGAAAACACTCTGTTCCACCTTGTGATGTCATGTGGAAATACAGGAAGTGCTCCACTGTGTTTTTAAACTCCATACACCTTCACTAGAACCTTTAGGAATCTTTTTGGATAATTTCAACCCTGGAATTGCCAATCTCTACTAAACTAAACGTAAAAGGTCGCTGTTAATTTTAAAACTACACCTTGATGATGTCACAAGGTGGAACAAAGCATGTGTGAATAAAACAAAACACAACTCCAGCTCTGTTTTTGATGAGGTAGCAACATTATAACGCGACTTAAAGCTCACAAGGATCAGTGTTGTGTAATACAGGACCTTTAAACGGTAAATTATAACGTTATTCAATATGAACCAAAAAGGCCTCGATTGTGTGAGAATTCAGCTTTCCCAAACGATTCTCATTCACGGCTCTTTATTGACACACAGATTTAGAGCTTCCTGTTCCCTCTCATGACACAGCGTTCCTCCAGTTCAATGCGGATTTGCACTTTAAGCTCATCGGATGCCAGCAAAGCGGAAACGTAAAGACGAAAACCCCATTCTTAGCACAAAAATAGTCTGCGTTTTTTGTGAAGCGAGCACGATTAGTCGCGAGATTTGGCAAAACAGAAACAAAGCACAAAAAAAAGAAAGACAAAACAACAACAAAAATCAATATATACTAAAAAGACAAAACGGGTTGCCATGTTGGGAAATTTAAAATAAAAAGATGTATTGATTGAAAGTGTTGCGTGTAATGTTTGTGTTTAGACTTTTATATACAAACAGAATAGAAGCTGGCGGTGTATTGATGAGAACTGCATGCCGGGAGATTTCTTTTAAGCTTTTGCCAAAAAAAATATGAAGAAAAAAAAAATATAAAGAAAATCTGGGGTTTAGAGGATTTCATTGGCGAAAGCGAAGACAGACAAACAAACAGAGGAATTAACAGAAAAGCAAAATAAAGATTAGGTAAAAATAGGTAGAGGAGGTAAACACAGCTGTGGCTTTAAGTGTTCACGATAAACAAAAGTAATTATGTTCAACTGTGAGACATGGGAACAAACTAACAAAATACTGTTGGTGGAGGAAGAGGTGGCAAAGCTGAAGAGGCGGATGGTTCTGCTGCTGCGGACGGCAATAAGTCATGTTCGTGATTTGATGATGCATAAAGTTTTATTACTTTTATTATTCCTATATTAACCTGTGATTATATCAAAGTTAAATGTGTACCTGCCTGGAGCCTGTGATAAATTGGGGTCAGCCCATAAGTCCGACAGCCCAATAGACCAGGACTAAACCAGGACTGAACCAGGACTGAACCAGGACTGAACCAGGACTGAACCTACGCCGTGTCATTAGTGGATTATAAATATATACATGCCGCAACCGGAGAGACGATCGCCAGGACTACACCAGGACTAGACCAGGACTAGACCAGGACTAGACCAAGACTAGACCAGACTAGACCAAGACTAGACCAGACCAAGACTAGACCAGACTAGACCAAGACTAGACCAGGCATAGACCAGATCTAAACCAGGACTGAACCAGGAATACACCAGGACTACAACAGGACTAAACCAGGTAAAAACCAGGACTAAACCAGATCTAAACCAGGACTGAACCAGGAATACACCAGGACTAAACCAGGTCAAAACCAGGACTAAACCAGGACTCAAGCAGTATCATTAACATAAATATATACACGCTGCAACCGCCAAGTCAATCACCAGGACTACACCAGGACTGAGCCAGGACTGAACCAAGTCTAAACCAGATCTAAACCATGACTTAACCAGGTCTAAACCAGGACTGAACCAGTGTCATTATCATAAATCTATACACATCGCAACTGCTAAGATGATCGCTAGGTCTACACCAGAACCTAACCAGGTCTAAACCAGGACGAAACCAGGACTGAACCAGGACTAAACCAGGACCGAACCAGGACTAAACCAGGACCGAACCAGGACTAAACCAGGTCGAAACCAGGACTAAACCAGGACTAAACCAGGTCGAAACCAGGTTGAAACCAGGACTTAATTGGGTCTATTATAATGCCGATCACCAGGACTAAACCAAGACTAAACAAGGTCTAAACCAGGACTAAACCTGGAGCAGAGCCGCAGATGGTTTTATGTAATAAAGACACAAAAGTCACTATCTCAGCCTGGTCCATCATTCTGGGAAAAGACCGGGAAATGGCACTCGTTTCCAGGGCAACAGACATCCAGGACGTGCGTCAAATATTTTTCTCCCGTTTGTCGTTCATTTGATTCGCCTGACCAACCCGTGTGTAATCACTACCTGCCCACATACCCACTCATAAAATTCCAGAACATTAAAACCCGCCCGTTTCAGCAACTATTTGGGCACCTGTGGGAACTGACTTGGTACAGGACAAAACCGGACTGTGGGCCATCTGGTTCCGGGCCCCAGAGAAGAAAAAAAAAGTATTAAAAAACCCCAAAAAACAAGTAAAACCCTTTTTAGTCCACAACTATATTTACTCTGGAAAAATTACTATTATAATTAACCTAAAATTGAGCAAATTAACCTAAAGAGCAGGCATGATTATTAAGACAATTTTTTCAACCCATGGTTAAGATGTTATAAGTATTTAGCCCTGGTATTACTGGCCTTGCCCTCCTCCACTGGTCACTGAAAAAAAGTTATGTTTATTATTGGTTCTTATGATAAAAAAGGTTGGGGACCATTGCCTTAAAGGTTGTATGGAGGATTTTTTTTGTTTCAAATTGTCAGTGAAAGTTTAAAATACCATTACAGAGATGCAGCAGCTTTGTAATTATGATGACCAAAAAAAAAAAAAAAAAAGAAAATCGATCAACTGTGGACGTAGTGAGGCCAGATAAACATCAGCCAATAGATAACCAGGCTACCTCATTTTCTATTGGCTGTTAGGTTGTCAGTCAAACTTCCTACGTTTCTAGTGTAACTGACTCGCCGGCGCGCGGGGGATTATGTAGTTTATGCAGCGGTTCTTAGAGGCGTTTTCTAACTGTATCTTCCTCGCAATTCGAACAGTTTTTCGCGATGTCGGACGAGAATCCGCGACCGGTTCGCCGCAAAAGAAAGTCCGTTTTTGAGGTCGATGAAAGAAGAAGAGAAGGGGAAAAGGAGCAAAGCCAAACTGAGGTGATTCTTGGAGATTCCTTCCAGCGACGGCGCGAACGAAGCAGACGAAAGGTCTAAAAACTGACGTGTCGGTCGCTAAATTATTTCCAGACAGGTCACTTCAACAGTAATTCTGAACGCGCACTGGCTGTAAACAAACGTGATTTCTAGAGTAAAGAGGCGGGAGGAGATGTTTCTACTGAGGCTGTGGAGGAGGAAGGTGGTGTCACGCATCCACAACATCTGAAAAAGGACTGTCGCTGTATGTTTTTTCCCTTAAAAAATCCTCTATACAACCTTTAATCTGTAGATAGACGACACATTCTAGTTTTTCTAACCTATAACTTGGAAACAGACAATTTTAATGCCACGCTGTAGATCATTCCAGGGAAAAGACGGTTACACAGTGAACCTTTAAAGATCAACTTTCATACCTCCTTGTAAGCATAATATTCACAAACCAATGACAAAATTTACAGAAGTCTATGTAATCTGGCAACATCAGCACGTGGGCGGAGTCAGAGACGTGGCTACAGTCCCCCATATGACACGGTGACACGTCTTTATATAGGACAGGGTCTTTTTCCACGCCACGTATCACTCAGCCTTCAATTCCTGAATGGCTCTCCACCTGTGCGTGTCACTA